ACAGCGGCGAGCGGAGCAGGTCCTCTGATCCCTGCCTGAGTTCGAGCAACGCCGTGAGGATTCCACGAAGAAACCGGAGTGAGTCACACAGCTCCTGGCCGGGCACCCAGGAAGTGCCCGGCAAGCTCCACCCCTGCCATGAGCACTGCTCTGCTCCCCAAAACCAGCCCCCGCCCCAGAGCTCCCCAGCCCTCGCACAGATTCTGGGAACCAGGTCTCCACGTGTCCCTGAGGAACCCACTTTAGTACTGAGCACACATCACTGCAATCTGATTTTAGGCATCGCTGTGTAAACACATGACCCTTTAATTCTATTTCAATTCAATTATGCAAATCTAATCACACATTCAGCATCAAACCATTTTTCTTTCCTCTCCAAATCTGTCCAGCAATGGCCAACCAAACCCACTACCAAGCTGGGCCCCGAGTGAGCGGAGTCCTCGCATCTCAAGCTGAGGGCTGGAAAACGCTCTCTGCCCCGGGGCGGGGCCGGCAGCAGGTGCTGAACAAACTCACTGTAACCCCGGAACCTCGGGGCCAGGGCAGGAGGCAAGACGGAGAATGTCCCGCGCCAAGCACGTCCACGCTGCCTTCCTTGGGGCCCCAGGAGTCCAGGAGGGGCTTCAGGGACCTCTGTGGGGGGAGCAGGAGGGTCCGTGGTGACAGGCAGGAACGCAGCCCCCCCACCCCGCACTCCTCCCTCGACTGCTCCACAGACTGGGGGTGCAGGGGAGTCTCAGTTTGCAAGACAGTGCTTTTATAGATGTTCACATAAAAGAAGTAGCTCATTAACCCTGTTCTAGAATCCTTGCTCCTGAAGTGGAGAAACTGAGTTCCAGCGAGGGAAAGGAGCTGGGCAAAACCTAGAGGGACCGGGAGGCAGAGGCAGGGCTAGAACCTGGGCAGGGCTGATCACGTTCGCCTGCAGAGCCCAGCTGTCACTCGAGGGCAGTTGGGGACACCAGGGCTTCCTCCGCAGGCGCCAGCACACAGCCACGAACGGGGCTCCCCATGCCACGGCTTCATCCACCCTCTGCACGGGACAAGAGGGGTGGGCGCCGTGGACCAGGCCCTGCCGCCCCCGAGCTGCCGGCCCGCTGTGCTCTGTCTGCCCCCGCGCCACGGAGGCCCCGTGGGCAGGAGAGCCGGGCTGCCGCGGGGAGCGCGGGAGGCCGGCAAAGTCTTCATGCGACCTGTCTTAGCTTATTAACAGGAGATGGATAATATCTGACAAATGACGGGAGATAAATTGTTAAGCAATATGCAAATAGGCCCGCAGCAGAAATGGAAAATTACTGTACAGTAAAAAGCTTTTACGGCTGCAAGAAAATTCAGAGGTAATTTGTCTCTGCATCTCCTCCAGTTCCAACCTCGCTGCTAGCTGCGGCAAAAGGCTCCATCCGCTCCCATTCCAATTAGATCACGCTGAAGGGGCTCCCGCACAGACACCAGCTTCGAGGGGCCGGGAGGGGCACTTATGAAGCCAGGGCTGGGCTCGGCCGCAGGCTCCCGGGGCTCCGTCCCTCTGCCCGCAGACTTGTCACTCAGACAAGAGCCCAGATCGGACCCCAGGGCTGTGGCCACCAAACGCATGCCCCTCTGGGCCATCGAAGGTCCCTGCGGCAGGCCCAGCTGCCCGGGTGTCACCAGACCATGAGCACAGGCTGCCCTGGCCGAAGAGAGGGCCAGCCAGGACGGAGGAGGACTCTGCACATGGGGAAACTTCTGGGCAGGAGGCGGAGCAGCCTGTGGAAGGAGATCCCTCGGGACACCCAGACTCAGCCCGACCCAGAAACAGACGACGAGGCGGGCGCTCTGCTCGAGCCCAGGCCGGAGGAGAAGCCGGGACTCTCTGAGGGCACACAGGTGGCACCCGAACTGCAAGGCGGGTGGGGGGACCCCCAGAGAGGAAGGGGCCGCAGGGCCACACAAGGGACCCCACCCAGCTACTCCAGGACACGCGGCCACTGCAGGTGACAAGACGTGACCTCTATTCGGTCCAGGCGCCGTGCTTCTCCATCAAAAGACTACGTAGGACAAAAGTCTCCAAGGGAAAATTGCTGTTTTCAAAACACACTTGTGGCTGCTGCCACTGTCCACCTGGGCTCCAGGCTGGGCTGTCAGAGGATGGAGGACCTCAGGGTGGGGCTGGGGAACCAGGAGAGGCCGTTCCACACTGTCACCGGCGGGCGCTGGACGGGCAGTGGGAAGGGCCTCTCCGGAGTTCTGGGAACAGCTCTGTCTCCACGATGAAGAAGGAAACCGGGAAACTCCATCCCGCAGCTAACTGGTTTCTGTTGTAGCATCCGACTATTTTGCTTAATTGTGTTAAGACAGTGGTTTAACTGGCAGCTTTGTGGAGCTGACGGGCAATTCTGCGGTCCCGTGGGCACGGCCCTCACGGAGCATCTAGAGCAATGAGCGATCCGTGGGACCAACCTCTCGATTCTTGCATCTCCCTGCAGACCGAGACTAGGGTCACAGTGACAGAGGGCTCGGGTCCCTGGGCAGCAGGTGGGCCCACAAGCAGCAGCTCAGATTGAACCAGGACACGGAATGCCAGCCACAAATCCTAGGTCCCCTCCAGAGGGGCCCAAAGGTCCAAGGTCACTCATGTTCTTAAAAGGGAAGAGGCACTCGGGTTACATCTGGGTACCGCCAGAAGCATCTTGTGACCCTAATGCACAACAGCTTGAGGGTCGCTTCCTCCAGGAAGCTTCCCCAGGCTGGGCATGGTCAGGCCACTTGTGCGGGCTTCACCCCACGCCCTGGGGTGTGTCCAGGGCCTGTTGTCACGACGTCAGGGCACAGCCTGGGGAAGGGGCTAGTTCTGCCAGGGGTAGCCTCTGCTATGCCCCAGGCACGGTGTCAGCCGGGTCACCTACTGGACCCTCATGGGACCCCCACTGCAGTCCTGAATGGAGGCCAAGAGAACCTGGGTTCATCCGAGATACGGAGACACAGAAAATGCATTTGCCTACTTCCCAGGAGTTGCAACCTCAGATGATACATTCCTTCTAGGGGGCTGCACTGGGGGGCGTTTGCACGCTGGCTAAGGGCCCGATGCCCATGTGGCATGTGAAGATTGGTGGCATGTATGTTTACAGACTAAGTCCGGCCACGGTTAGGGCAGTGACAAAGCAGCTATCTGCAGGCTCCACGAGTCCCCTCCTGGAACCGCGGGACCCGGCTCTCCCCTGCCCTGGCCAGTCCCTGCTCACTGCCTGCTCTGGGGCTGCCCGGGCTGGGGGAGCACAAATCCTTCTCCCAGGATCCCTGACAACCACCACGAGATCCAGGTTCCCTGTTGTGTGTTCCTGTGATCTTGCAGGGACCTTCCTGGGGGATCCATGCGGGGCAACCCAGCAAGCTTGGGGTGTGGGGTTGGAGACAACAGAAACCCAACGCCTGTCTGAGGAGCACCTGCACCCTCCTCCCATCCCTGCGGTTGGCCCTCTGGGCCCCAGCCCGAGCCCTTGCCCATCCCCTCGTCTTCTCCTCTGCATGACTCAGGGTCCAAATCAGGTTGCTCCTCCTCCAGAAAGCCTCCCTGCCCCACACACACTCGGCGGTTCTAGCCCTTCTCAGCTATTTGGATCATTCGGACGGCAAGGAACCTCGAGCACCTCGTTTGTATTTCCTTTCTCCTCTGTGCTTGGCCATCTCCTCAGCCAGACTGACCCCCGCCCCTTGCCCTCCTGACATCTGCTGCCAGAGCAGGTGTCCAAAGACACAGTGACGGGAAGGCAGGTAGCACAGAAGTGGAAGCAGGCACGCCCCACCCCTCAGTCTGGGTGGCCCTGGGTGCATTATCTAATCCCTCCAAACCCCATCTGTTAACTAAAAACACCTACTTAACAGGGTCATTGGAATTATTAATACTAAACAAAATTCATACCAAGTACTTAGCACACAGGGTGTAGTATACAGTTAGCACTCAAAATACATTCCCTATCATTATGCATATAATCACCTATGTATTGCCGTTATAGTCAGTTCTGGGAAACTGGCTGATAATACCTCTTCACCAAGCATGGTTGGCAAAAGGATGTTCCAGTTAATTAATCATCTTCGGTTAAAAGAAATGTACTAGAGTTGCCCAAACCAGAATTACCAATTTCCTAAGTAATGAAATAAAATACACCACAACTTAATAACCCACTAATCTAAAGACATTTAGGACTCTCCCCAAAGGCTTTCCGTCATCATGAAGGTTCCTGACCATGTATTGTGCCGGGAAAATTCATAAATGCCACTTAACGGAGCCTTCCCGCTGCTAGGAGGGGGTTTCGTTCCCCCTTCACTGTGTGAATTCCAGACGTGCACATACATGAACACTCACGCGCATGTATGTCCGGCCAGCCCCTTCCACGGGGCTCTTCCTCCTCCAACCAACACAACAGAAACAGGACGGCTCCATCCCACCTCCCCCTCTTGGTGTGCCAGGGCCTTCGGATTTGGAAACCAGGACATGCCGCTCGGGGAGAGGACGGCACAGACGGACGAGGAGCTGTGGCCCTGCAGAGAGGCCCCCGGCCAACCGCAACCTGCGAGACCCCCTGGCCGCACCTGTGTCTCAACGGGCGCTGGGGAGCCGCGGCGCGCACCTGCGCAGAAGGCACAGCACGGGCCTGGGGGTGGCCGGGCGGGCCAGGGACAGGCACCCTCACACACTGTGTCACCACGAGGCCATAAACACAGGCTGTTCCTCTCGGCAGGAGCTAAGCATCCGAGCCCATCGGCAAGGAGGCGTGTGTCAGAGGACCAGATCAGCACCGGGCCCGGTAACAGATCTGGGCGGCCTCCCGGCCCGCCTCTCCCCTGCTACTGCCCTCCTGCTCCCTGCCCCCGTGCTGCTGCCGCAGGGTTTGTTTCAATGATGGGGACGGTTTTGCGCCCCCATTCCTGCAGGGCCCTGCCGACACAGCTGCCCGGCCCCATGCCCGCCAAACGCACGCCCCTCCCTGCTGTCTGGCTGATTAGAGAAGAGGTTTGCTCACGTGTCCAGGAGGCTGCGGCCGGCTGGCGAGGCCCTCAGAATCCCCTGGAGCCAAAGAGCAGCTGCTGACATTTCGAAAGGTCAATCAATCACTCCATTTCACGGAACGTGATCATCTCCCAGGACCTAAATGCAACAATAAAACCAAATAGCGCCAAACAGTTGGGGGAAATGAGTGATGTGCGGGCAGGCGGGTGGCTACAGTCGGCTTGGAAAACGGCCCCGAGACTCGGTTCAGGCAGAGGGCCCCGGAGCCCGGAGCTCTGGATTTGAATCCTACCTCTGAGAAAGCCCCTTCCTCTCCCTGGGCCACAAGGGTGACTCGAGGTGGCTTTGGGAGACCAGGCTGAGGACCGCACAGACGTTTCTCCGCAGGAGGAAGCGCAGGAAGCTTGCGAGGTTCGTAAGCCTCCGCAGGTGACCCTGCACCTGCCGCGGGGCAGCCAGGCTAGAGCAGCTCCCCAGGCTGACGCACTCCTGCGTGTTGCAAAATCAGCCCACCTCACGCCCACCTGGGAGCCCTTGTTTACACGGCCCTCCCCTAACTACCGAGTTTCTCCGAAAATGAGCCCTACCCATAAAATAAGCCCTGGCGGGATTTCTAAGCACATGCGCAATAGAAGCCCCACCCCGAAAATAAGCCCTAGTGCTGGGCGTGGCTACGCAGCGCATCTGCACAACCCGCGCATTGCGTCCCGGAGCGGGAGAGAGGATGAGCAGCCCTTCTCACCTGCCCCGTGAGAGCTCTACGGCTCGACAGGAGAGATCGGGGCCAATGTTCTAAAGGAAATAGCGTCGCAAGACATTCAGGATGGAATTCGGGGTTTGGAGAGTGATGATGATGTTCCAGAAGAAGACGACTTCACTCTATTTGAATAAATGTAGATGGTTGTACGGTACTTAAAAAAAATAACACATCCCCTGAAAATAAGCTCTAGGGTGTCTTCTTGAGGAAAAATAAACATAAGACCCTGTCTTGTTTTCGGGAAACACGGTAATCCTGGCCGTCAGCTGTGGCTTGAGGCCTGGGCCCGTCAGGGACACTTGCCTGCATTCCGGGGTCGTTCCGTCTTTTCTCCCAGGAGGCACGTTTAATTGCATCCACTGAAGAATGGCGAGCGCATAAATTCGGGAAGGAGAGCTCTCTTTCCCATGAAGGGCTGCGGCCCGCGGGGTGGCCCTTCTGACAGGCCGGAAGCGCGGCCTCGGCCCGAAGCCGAAGCAGGCACTTTGCGGGAACGTCCAGGACCAGGGACCTGTGCTGAGCAGGGTGGCGAATATGCATAGTTAACGAGCTGTAGGAGGCGTCATGAACGTTTACGAAAGGAGAAGCCTGCGCTGGCACAACTGAGCTTCCCGCCACCTCACGAGTCCCTCGCTGGGAAAATGGCG